AGATAGATAGATAGATAGATAGATAGATAGATAGATAGATAGATAGATAGATAATAGATAGATAGATATAAAACAGAATAATATGTCCTATCTTAGATTCAGATGCAAAAAATTATGCAATTCATTCATTTATTCATTTTTTGTAAAACAGTCACAATGGGAATTGGGCATGAGCCATATATCATACTTTGAACTTTAAAAACCCTATAATTTAGGGTTATATAATTTATATAACACTAAATTATATAACCCTAAATTTATAATTTAGATATTTAAATATAAACAAGTTATATATTTCTTTCATTCATTATGAAAAATGTTAAGTCTACCATCACCACCACTGCCACCAAAAAAAAGAGAATACAATAAAGTCTGATGATTAGTTCAATCTTCATTTGGATTATTTCCTAGTCCAAAAGCTCATCATCTGAGTGAGGTTGGTGTGATGCTTTCTGGGATCCCAGTTTTTTTTCTAGTTGAAAGGATATCAGATCTTTCCTAGTGATTATGCCAACAACTTTATTCTGCAAATCAACTACTGTTAAGTGACGAAGACCCAGAGATCGAAATATGATGTATGTGCGTTGCAGTGAGAAATGAGCTTGAACTGATACTGCTGATTTGTTTATATATGGATCCTGAAAGGTAAAATAAAGAACAGATTCAGAGAAAAAGATTGGGAAAAAAATCTCGCTGGTAGTTTAAAATGATAAAAAAAGAAACAATTACAACAACAATTGGAACCAGAATTTCAGTGTCTAAACAAGGTGGTTATTAAATGAGTCATACCAAATTTTATGATCTTTTTTGGCCACAGTTAAGTGAATCACTGAGGTTGTTAAGAAAATCACATGGTCATTAAGTGAATCTTGTTTCTTCAACTGACTGCTTGTCAAAAGCAGGCTGGGAAAATTGCAAATGGCAATCATTTGATCCAAGGATGTGGCATGTTGTTCGATTAGAGAAAGATCAATAACTATATTTATCAATAAGTGGAAACTCTTATAGACTTTTGCTTGAAACAAAGAGAAATTGTGATTTATTTGAGGATTGAAAAGAACTTTATGGAAAGAAGGAAAGTGTGATGTAACTTTAGATAGCAAGGGTAAAATATAAATGCATTTACAACCACAGTCAATTTATTTATTTACAATTTTTTCTCATTTTCTTTCTTTCTTTTCTAATATTTGTACCGTTTTTATCTCATTAGAAATTTCTTTGATAAAAATTACATTTTTTAAAAATAGCACATTTTGCAGAGGGGTAGTCAGACTGGTACGATTTTTTTTCATTCATCAGCCCCCTGATTTTCATTGCTATATTATTAGAGGTATAGTTATAGAAAGGCGGGGGGGGGATGAATGCAGAATACTGCACCTTCGTGGTTGCATAGAAATCAAATATTGACTTTTAAAGGATATGTTCTATTAACATTGCATCTTTTTGATAATCTGAAACATTTTAATTGCTGACCCACATGCAATGCTTGTTTTCTTCTTTCCTTTTTCCCCTTTGTTGGCTCATTGTATCAACATCTGTTATGTTTATATAATATGAATTAAAACTCAGGAATGCTGTTTGTACTCAGTTACTTTTGTTGAGAGTATATCGTCCCAGGATTGGCAGTGTTTATGTAAATCAGTGTAACTGACACAGCTGTCATAAACAGAAGAGAAAATATAACAAACACATTGTAGGCAAAGGAAATGTGTGCTTTTAGAATTGCTTTCACTCTTACTAAATTGATGAAGAGTTGTTGATATTGAGGGTCTGTAGTATAGCAAGCCAACATAGCAGTCATCCACTGCTGATTGGGTAATTTCTCAGTTCTGATCTGGAATATACAGTATAATTACAAGAATAATACAGTGTAATTATATAGCATACAAACACTCCAACTGTATAGAGCAATTCAACCAGGTTGGTTTTATAGCAAGAAAAAGAAAACTCTGGAGCACTGAAGAATGCATGCATTTTTTTTTCATTCTATGATGCAAAATCCGTGTACAAAATTCAATATTTACTTACAATTTTTCTCTCTGAAAATCATTTTCCTATGTAGTTATTTTTTAAAAAAGCAACAAGTGCTTTTTTAAAAGAATAAGATATATTAGAAAATTTATTACATAAGATTAATAAAATTGCAAAGCCCAGTAAATCAAGAGCTGCTTAAGTTTGAGGAGAGAATACAAGCCAATAATTATGTATAGATATACGGTACTTTGTTTTGCAATTGTTGTAATTTATAAGTCTTCATAAATACAGCAATATTCTGAAACAAGTTTATTATAGCAATACATAATAAATAGAAGTAGAACAATCATGGAATAAAATATTCTATTTTTTGTGAATATATCAATTCATTATTGGTGAATAAATGCAATTCATCAAATAATTTAGTCCACAGATGGAATAATTTTGGAGCAAGTGTTTGGTAATCAAACAATCATATACTAAAGAAAGAAATAAGGAAGCTTGCTTCAGGAAGAATACCATTTTTGCAACTTGGGGAGCTATTTAATCTTTGTTAAAATAATTAGGGTAGACTAAGAAATGTACTTCATTCACAACAAAAAGCAGTTTTTAAGAAATAAAAAGAGGAACAGTGGATAGAAAAATAGGTAAACTGGTTGGTTCTTGTTTATATTTTTCAAGCACTGACAAGATTTTTGAGGACAGATGTCAGTATGGCTTTAGTGATGTCAGTGGCAATAGTAGATAATTACTATAATAGAACTGCACAGTTGTATATAAATTATCTCTAAATTTCTTGTGAGATCAGGAACTAAATTTTCCTATGAGGCACACTGAAGCTCTATCCTATTATTTTATTAATTAAAAATGGCTTTATAACACACAGCTGCAGGTTCATGTTATAGAAATACAGTTGTGGGCCAAACAAGGACTATCGAAATGTAATGTATAAAGTCTCACTGGAGTAGAATAATGAGGAAGGAAGCAAGGAAAGAAACAAAGAAGGAAGCAAGCAAGCAAAGAAGGAAGCAAAGAAAGAAGGAAGATACATCAACTCACAGTGTTCTATACTATTTATTTTAAAACCTAAAAATACTGCATTATTTCCATAGTGAGCAATCTTCCCCTAACTAAATTTTTCATATGAGAGACAATTAAACAAGAACGCATATATTACCTTCTGATAGGGCAGAAAAGGTGGATGGGATTCAGTGTCTTCCATTTCAAAAATGGTCTCATTTTCCAGTAGCACACAGAGCTCAGGCCTAGTTCCACAGAAAGAACATTTATCACCAGATGTCCATGTCCAAAACTTCTATGAGACTTCTATGAGAATGTTTTTGCTTTGTTTTCTTTTTAATTGGCAAAATTTTGAATTTGTGGACTTAAGTTTTTTGAATTTTGGATTGATGTTCTTATCATATTTGGTCCTGCTAGCTATGGATTATGGGATCCATAGTTCAAAGTCACTTGTGGACCCAGCATAGATCATAATCTCTGCATCAGGATAACAGCAGTGACAGAGTTTTGCACTTGTACACTTTTTTAATTTCCCTGAAAGATGGGAAGCCTAAGGAAAAATCTTTTTATCTTTATTTCAATGTTTATTTTTAACAGACTTGCAAGTACTGATACACACAGAGAGAGAAAGAAAGACATATATATTCTGATAATTAGTTTAATACAGTAAAGCATATTTAAAACATCAGAGAATACTGAAAACTATTCCTTATATTAATAAGTATAAGGTATGGATAGGTGATCATTCATATAACATAGAACAGTGATGGCTAACCTTTTTGGCACAGAGTGCCAAAAATGCACACATGCACACCCATAATGCAATGCACGCATGACTCCCCCACATGTGCCTGCCCCCAAGCATACGTTCATGACCTCCCACGTGCACCATGCACATGCAACCCTCACTTCTCCCTGCGCATGCTTTTGCGACCCCCTTTGAATGTGCAGGTGACCCCCTGTGTGCCCTCTGGCCCCATGCAGATGCACATGACCCCCCCATGTGCATCCTTTCCCCTCCACAGATGTGCCCCACTCACACACACATGGACCCCAGCCCCTGCGGATGTGTGCACAACCTGTGCATGTGTGCCCTGCCCCCCCCTGCATGCGCAGCAGAGACCTGAAAACCAGCTGGCCATTGGGAGATGCGTGCATGCACGGTGGAGCTGAGGTGGGGCGACAGCTTGCATGCCCACAGAGAGGGCTCTGCATACCACATGTGCCACAGGTTCGCTATCACGGACATATAATAAACAGCATTAGAATAAATTTTGATCTTATCTAGATATCTATAACATCTTTGATCTTTATTTCATGCCCATAACACCTATGTATGTCAAAAGAGACACCTCTTCAATTTTCAACCGATTGATATATAAGCATACATGATATGATCCCAACTTGTTTGCTGGAAAATATTACTATTAGTAATTAAAAACCCAACATGATACATGGTACATGTAAAGGCATAAATTGCAAGCGCATAAAGAAAGAAAGAAATCCACCAGATCAAGAACTTTAATCAAAATAAAAAAACCAGCATTGTACCACTAGTCAAGCTTTGTCCCTTTCAGTTAAATATTAATATAACTGCTCTTTTTGTCATCTGCCCCTCCCTTGATCCTCCCTCCACCACAGATGTCTTGGGTACATGAGCAATTTGATTTCACTTCACCAGTTCACTTGTTTCAAACATGAATGATAAATAAAAAATAAATTAATAGTTTGGAATTATAACAAAAATTTAGGGTTATAATTTATTGTATCTGAGCATGTAAATATTTTTAAACTAGTAGTTGTTTATTATACTAATAGTGGTGTTTTGGTGAAGTTAAAATGTATGATCCATTGAGTACAATGGTAAAGAACACAAACATTGGTTTAGCATAAGAGTTTGACTAGCAGATTCAAAATTATTCAGCGTTGGTCTGAAAAAAACCAGTAGGACATCACAGAGGAGTCAGACTTTAGGGGGGGTGGGAAATCTATGTAATGAAAAAGACATATGTACACATATTGAAAGAAAGAGTTAGAACACAAGAGAAAAATGAGTGTCCATTGTTTGACTTAGACTCACTGAAGTCACACTTCAGAAATATAACAAACTTATTATTTGACGTTACATATATCCTTCCTATCATGTCTTTAGGTTTTTAAAACAACAGCCTGAGCATGTTTCACTATATTTTTGCATTAACAGGAAGTTTTAGAGATCAGATATTGAACTGGCAATTGTTCTTCTATTCTTTATTTATTTAGAAAGGAAGAAATCGCTTTAGTAAAAAGTATATTTTACAAAATAGTCTGGCAAAGTGATTTAGCATTTCCATTTCATGGTATAGCCTTTACAAAACAAACATCCTATACGCAATTAGAATAGAACACTATTACTTCCAACTCTCACATTAGATATTAACTTTCCCATTGCTTATGCTGAAATCTATAAGCTTGGGAAATGTTTTTTGCATCAACCCTTGTGGAAATGTCCATTTATCTGTTACACATTACAATGATAGAAAATTTAAGAAATTGTTTCAAGCCAGCTACAAAATATATACAGAGTTTAGAGTCTTTCTGCACAACAACATTATGGCACAATAAAGTCTGTATGTCTAATAAAAATGCCCAATTCATACCAATTTACTGGTCACCCAGATGATAACAATATTGTAATATCCAGTAGCTAGTTTAATTATGGTACCTCATTTCTTTTCAAATTCCATCTTTTCAAATGCAATCTTTCTTCATGATTCAGTCTGAAATTCAAATATATGGCAGTTTCACAATGCTTTCTTTTTCTAGAAAGTGCCAGGATTTCATTTGCTCAAATTCACATTATTATATCTCACTCTCCCTACCTTCCCTAACTAGTTTCCAAATACCTCATAATTATAGGAGATAAACTGATGGATTGTAAAAATAGAAGAAAAAAGCAAACTGCTAGCCCGTTAGTCTACTATTTGGGGGGCAAGGGAGAATGATGGAGTGTTATCTTCCAGTCTCACACATTCTCAGCAGAAATAGCAGAGGAACCTGGAAACAGGCAGGAAGATCACATTTTCAACCACTTAAATGAGGTGTAGCCAATCTGATGCCCTCCAAATATTTTATGATTCGGTCTCAGACTGAATCCCAACTAGCATAGCCAATTACAGAGATAATGGTCTAAAACATCTGAAAGGTATTAGTTACCAGTAAGAATAACAAATCCTTAAAAGTCTTCTCATAATCATTAATTGCACTTCATATTACATTTCCATTTTAGTCTCCAAGTGAAATCTCGGTGACCTGTTTCTCACAATCAAGTACATTCAAGATTTTGTCCCTTCCACAGCTTTCGGTAGCTATTCAAAACCAGACATGGGCTTCACCAATTGACTGGCTGATATTTTGTATTGATTGATTTTATTTGTATGTGAAGAGCTAACTCTTTTCAAATATAATTTTGATAGGTCATACAAATTGAATAAGGTAATTGTGTAGGTGATAAAATGTAAAAATAACAACAGTATCAAGAGTTGCATATGTTTAAAAGAAAAATTGCCGCTCAAAAATATTGTATCCAAATTTAATGATGATATTTACCTGAAGGAAGGGCAAGAATGGATGGAAAATAATCAAGGAGAGAATCAACCTGGAACTAAGGAAAAATTTCATGAATGTTAGAACAATTACTCAATGGAACAACTTGCCTCCAGAAGTTCTGAATGCTCCAACATGGGAAGTTTTTAAGAAGGGATTGGAAAATCATTTGTCTGAATTGATAGGGTTTCCTGCCTTATTTATATTTCATGGGAAAATACATAGAAAAATGCCATTGGCAGAAAATCCACAGGGTTAGGAATAGGTCTCCATCAATTTGGAGAGGAAAATGGACATCACAAATGGATTCAGAACACATCAGTATGGTTAGGAGGATGCATAATTTTCAAGCCTGCCTTATCTACAATTTCGATAAAATACATGAGAAAATCGCATTCATGGAAAATCCATTTAGGATTAGGGTTAGGTCTTCATGAATTCGTAAAGCGAAATGGACATTGCCAATGGACTGAGAGCACATGAGTATGGTTTGGAATGGACATTCCTTTTGAGCCTGCTTTATCTACATTTTCTGAGAAAATACATGGAAAATCCCATTCACCAAAAATCCGCTTAGGGTTAGGCTTATGTGTCCATGAATTCAGGAACCTTAATGGACATGGGATTCAGAGCCCATGGCTATGGTTAGGAGCATGCATACCTTTCAAGCCTGCCTTATCTACATTTCCTGTGAAAATACATGGAAAAATCCAATTCGCCCAAAAAAATTAAATAGTCCAATTACTTTTCAATTTTAGACAATATAAGACAACTATAGGATCAATATTTCTATTTTTTTCACATATACGACACCAAACTGCTCTTGCCTCAAAAACTCTTACAAATTGCAATTCAGCTACATCTGTTTTTAACTGACCTTTCAGAAATTTAATTCCCATTCTACATTATTTTTATTTGTTCTGAAGAATGTGCTGCTCATGTAAAAAGTGAACTCTTGATGCTTAAAATAATTTTAAAAATCATCTTTAAGATCTTATATAAAATCTTTACCCAAGCACTTCTCTAAACAATAGTTATAAAAGCCCTGCATAAAATAAAACTTGTGCATAAGTACCTGTGTGTGTATTTGCATTTCTCAGATTATTTCTATTTAGAATACTAAATAAGAAAAATCTGTTCAGAATTAAGAAAAAAATACTTTTTAACTGCATCAGTTTATAGACAGATGTTCAAATGCACATCAAATGTGGGAATCCAGGCTGTAGTACAAGACTGGAAATCATTGTTCATAGGTCAAAAATGTTACTGTTGTTATCTTAATAAAGTGCTTAGTAAAGTGTGTACCCTATGCTTTCTAGCAGTAGTTAGCATTGCTTCATCAAGTGATACCCACAAGAGAGACATGTTTTTATATCACTAATCTAATTTCTCTTCTTTTGCCATTCTCCTGAAAACCTGTAAATAGTGCAATCAATGCCTCAGACCATTCCTAGTTTTCAAAAATATTTTTCTATCTTTGCATGACATTAATTTCTATTAATCTGATTTAATTCCATGATGGCCAAGAGACATTTCTTGGTACACAGATGACTTACTCTCTGGAAACAAATATTGTGGGGGTAAGACACCCATAACACTCCTCGGTGTGTATGTGTTCTGCTAAAATACAGCCTCTTGTGCCTTTAAATGGCTTCTACTGTACTGCTGTAAAATGGCTTCTACTGTACAGCGCAGTGGAGTTGCCATGGTAACAACTTCACAGTACTCCACAAGAGGGCTTCCTCTGGTAAGGGGGAAAATCCAATATTAGAAATTACATTTGGTCCAGACATTTTCTCACTATAAATAAATACCTAGGCAACACCAGGTTATCGGCTAGTTACTTTCTAAAACAGGGCAGTTGGAAAATATTACAGATTGAGTGTTATTGTGTGAAAATATATAAGCAATGTAAGAACTCCTCTATGAGATTCTGCTACAGAGGACAGCATATATTCCAAAGTATTGCTTTAAATACAAAGTCTTTATGTTAATTATGACCCAAACCTATTCATAATATACTTTATAGCATTGATGCAATAAATTATATATAGAAATAACAATACAATACAATAAATTTGAAAATTTTTACCAGATCTTTTGTACTTCTGTACTCAGCAATTGAAGCAATTCAGAGAAGATGAGATTGGGAGATTTCATTCAACATAATTATTTATTTGGTTTTGTTTTGTTCATCTGTTTTTCTTTAGAATAGATATTATGCAGAAAGCAGTTGGATCAGTTTAATCACAATTCCATCAATATTTATGGGATCTTCATTATTTATATAAGAAGTTCAGAATGGTCAGACATCTTTCCTTTATTAACATTAGTTAATTGCAAAATTATTGTACTACTCAAGTTACTAAACATGAGCATCTCACTTTTTCCTAAAAATGGTGAAGATCAATAACTGTTTTTGAAGGAAGAAAAAAAATTATGGGATTATCCAACACTAGATGTTGTAACAAGAACTGTGACCTACATATCAACTCTAAATTTTTGCTCAGGCAGCACATATCCAAAGCATTCCCTTACGCTTCTGAAACAAATTGGCCCCATATCATTTTGGCTTAATAAATTTTTTATTCTCTTTGTCAATGAAAAGAAATCACTAAAAATCAGCCAGAAATATATAGTCATAAATAAGTTGTTTCTGTCTCGAAGGTTAACGCAGCTTTAAGTTTTCAACTTTGTCATATTTTCTAAACTATAATGTCTTCAATTTACTTTCAATTATGCAACATGCACTTTACTGGAGGGAAAGCATGTTTTAGCTAAACAATGTAGTTTGGTTTTAGTATTCCCATGGATCATTGTAAAAATGTTTCTCTCAGCAATAGTGTCATTATTGTTACTAAATACAGCTGCTCAGCCATCATTAATACAGATGATTTTTTAAAACTGATTTGTCTACTGAGAAATTAGTTCAGGACTATGGCTACAATCAGGTAATCTTTAAACCATCAAGTTCTTTCTCTGTCATATTTCTTGTCCTGCTCTCACACCTTCTTCCTATTTTTAATACTCTGTTGCAACTGAGTATGTATGGGTAGAACGATTTCTCCAAAGAAGGAAAACAAACTGCGATCAACTGAAGTTTTACTATTTTGGTACTACATAGAAGATGTTGATGTAGTTATGACTCAAATGCTAAGTATTAGCATCAGTTCAGATAAAGATTAATTCTAGGGTCATTTAAATATTGTTTATATAGCTTCAAGAAACTTCACAGTCCTTTTCCTCATTGCTCATTGTTCTTTTCCTGCTGGGTAGGTTCTCTAGATTCTTCAATATTTTTTCATTGTCAATTTTATAGCGTAGAAAGTCCAAGAGAGTTGCTGGAATTCACACATTAGAAATTTGATACCATATATTTTGGGGGTTATTTTCGGTAAAGCAACACTGATTCTGTAAAGAAAGCTAAACCTGCAAAATATTTTTTATAATAATGAACCATGAGGAATATCTGGAAATAAGGGATGAAAGAATCCTCTAATGATTACAATAACACTTCAATATTTATGACCTAAACTGTGGTTTAAAAAAAATATCCAGGAGAAGAGAATAATTCTAAAATGCTTCTTTATTTCATTTTCAAAAGAATAACAACGTCACTTGCCATAAATGATGTTGTTTTACTAGTATAAACCCATCTCAAAATTGGAAATAGAAATGCTTGGTATTTAAGCAAATGACAATGTTTAGACATTTTTTTCTGTTTTGCAAAAAGGACAGAGAGGAAAGAGAGAAAAAGGGTTTCTTGATTCCTTCCATTTCTGCAGTGTGTCTTCTCAACATTGTTCTAAGCCACTTTTACAAATGGATAGAAAATATGACTTCCTGGGCGGGACTTACTGATGGAAACAGCTAAACATAGCTGCTCCCGAGTTACCAGTCGTGTTATCTGTTCAGATGATCATCTATCAGACATCTGACAGACACCTTACTCTTCGGGAAAAGAAGTGAAAGGAGAGAAGTTTTGTCCAGCCTTTCTGATCTTTGCAGCTTCTGTGTCTGCGAAGAGAGAGGGGGGCCAGCTGAAGGCAGAACTGTTCCGTGCTGGTGCTTTGAAGAATAATTTGACTCCCTCTTCTTTGTGGCAACCCCTGAAATATTGGAACTCTGCTATCATGCCCCCCCCGGTCCTTCTTCTCATTAAACTAGACATCCCCAGTTCCTGCAACCGTTCCTCCTATGTTTGAGCCTCCAGTCCCCTAATCCTCTTTGTTGCTCTTCTCTGCACTCTTTCCGGAGTCTCCACTTCTTTTCTACATTGTGGCGACCAAAACTGGATGCCGTATTCCAAGCGTGGCCTTACTGAGGAAAGGAAAGGAAGGAAATGAGGGGGGGAGAGAAGGAAAGTAGGAAGGGGGGAGGGAGAAACCCTCCTTTTAGTAGAGATAAACTAGTGTTGCAGAAAATGACAGGCTTTAGACTTCTCAGGATACAGGAAAAGTTTATTTG